GGGGCGGTCCCAGTGCCCACAGCACTTGACACCCTCGCCCCCCCGAAAGACCATCCGCCCCCCCAGGCTGCTGAGAGCCCCAAGGGATACAAATAGCCCCCCATGGGACTCAGGGGCCTGCCCTTCGCTCCCCCCCAGCATTGCCAGGCCCCCAGGCCCCCTATTTGCAGGACACCTTAGAGCCCTGCAGACCCACCGTGCATGGTGGATGCCAATTGTGTATCCCCAGCCCTGCACATGTGCAGATAGACCATCCGCCCCCCCAGGCTGCTGAGAGCCCCAAGGGATACAAATAGCCCCCCATGGGACTCAGGGGCCTGCCCTTCGCTCCCCCCCAGCATTGCCAGGCCCCCAGGCCCCCTATTTGCAGGACACCTTAGAGCCCTGCAGACCCACCGTGCATGGTGGATGCCAATTGTGTATCCCCAGCCCTGCACATGTGCAGATCCCTGCTTTCCATCCGCAGGCATCTGGGGAGGTGGGTGTGGAGAGCCACCATTCATTTTGGCGGCTGCGGATACCAATTTTGTATCCGTGCAGGGCGCCACACATTGGGGCTTCTTTTCAGTTACCTTCCGTTGGGGGAGCATTTAGGGTTCGGCTGAGGTTGCATTTTCATATGTTGCTCTGCCACCATGAAGGGGTAACAAGCTTTTTGTTTTAAATTAAAACTAAGATTTCCATGTAATCTTTTGCGTGACTGGAGGCGTTGAGGCTTTCGAGGGTAGGGTTGCCAGATGATTTGAACAAAAATACCAGACACACTTGACATAATCTACATTAATCTTATTTAAAAAAATACCGAACATGTATATTTTCTCATTTATATGTTCTCAATTTGTTTCCCAAACAGAAAGCTCAAATACTGGACTGTCTGGTTCAAAACTGGACACCTGGCAACCCTATCAAGGAACACCAAACATAGCAGAAGATGGGAACTCTCTTGCACCCCTCATCTAAAGAATCTTCCAGAAATATCAAAATAGACGAGACCTAATTTTTTTAATGTAAAAGTAAATGGGGAATTCTTTTTTTGGTGGGGGGAAGTTTGGGGCCTTATTAATAGATCAAAAAAGGGCAAGTGCCTCTTGTGTAAGTCACTTAAAGGTGCCTCCAGGGATCAGGAATACAACAGTGTCCACCAGCAATGAGGTCCCTCCTTCTTGGTTACCATCTGTTGTGGCATTTTTTTCCTATTGTTCTATGCTACTTGCCACGTGTCACTGTCTGGACCATGTGCTGTGCAGGCTTCTTAGGTGAGTGAAATGCAGAACTAAACAAGCTGCATTAATAATAAAAGGAGAATTAAAGAAATTGTGTGGGGTGATATTCTATAACAAGGCTGAACAGCAAGTACAATATTCCTGCCGGAACAGGGAGATACAGAACCACATTGGCTAGGTTTGTGTGTGGTTTATCATTATCTACTATATTACAGAAGTATGTAGCATTTCCAACTAAGATGAGGGCCCCCTGTCATGGGCACACTAGAATCACAATGGGGTCCAATCTTACAAAGTCTTATGAACATGCTTAATTTTACTACCGTTAGTAATGGCACTGAAATCAATGGGCTACACATACATGTTTGCAAGATCAGGGCCATAGAGAGGAGCACTAATCCACAAATGTACCATCAAGATAGACAAGACAAACAGAGATGGAGGGAGACCAGAGACAAAATGACTTGCCAAGGTCACACAGCAGGTAAGTAACAGAACTAGAACTCGCATCTAGGACTCTTACTTCCCAGTCCGTGTCCCAGAATGTCTACAGTAGGGCTGCCTTGCCCTCAGCATCTCACAGGACAATGATTCTCTTCCACAAATGCTATAGGTGTCCAAATGCAGAAATGGAATGATAAACTGGACCTACTTTTGAAACTAAAAATCATGCTGAGCAATCGTAACAGGGCAATCAAGGCCCCATATCTGTGGCCAACAAGAGTCCCATTGATTTGGATAGAGATCTGCCCACACTCATTGCTCAGTGAGGGGTCTGGGTAGGGTTGCCAGATGGTTTTAAAAAAGATACCAGACATACCCCACATCTCACCATCTGGCATCTTTGACTTTGCAATGCAAAGGCCGTGCTCCTCCGGACACGACTACCTCCTCAAACTGGCCTCTTTTGCTACCTTTTGCTCTTTTAAGTAGCTTGACTGCACTACTATCCCAGGTGATCACACTCTTCAACCATACAACTCCCCCACCCGAAAATGTCACAGTCACTTAGCTTCAGTCAGTATAACAGAAAGTGACCAGGAATCAGAACATCTTCTCTTTCCCGACCTCTCACTGGTAGAAAGGTGGAAACATGTCGCTCCTTTTCTGTACTATAAAAACAACTTTAAAAAAAACCAAGTAGTCCTGTGGCACCTTAGGGACAGTATCATGAGCTTTCGTGGGAAGAACCCACTTCCTCAGATGAGATGAGATGATTGCCCACAAAAGCTCATGATACTCTACATATACTCTTGTTAGTTTCCAAGGTGCCACAAGACTACTCCTTTGTTTGGTTTTTAAGCTGTTTTTAAAGTTACAGATTATCACAGCTACCCCTCTGAGATTCTGTACTATAGAGCTTTGTAGCTATGTGTGTTAATCCATTTGTGTTATCCAGGTCCTATACGGCAAGAACTTAGACTCTCTCTTCCTCATGGGCAGTGGGTAATGTAGGCAAGGGAAGGCCTACACTACCCAATTGCCCGGGAGGGGCTGGGGTCGTGCCGAACGGCAGCCCAGCTTTCCAGCAGCCAGGGAAGGCTGGGGCCATGCCATGTGCCAGCCTAGCTGGAGTTGGGCAGGGCTTGGCTGGGAAATGGGGGGAAAGGTTGTGACGGGGCATGGTTTTGGGGAAGGGGTGGAGCTTTAGCTGCCTTTCCCAGTTGGGCCTTCACCCACCCACCCATGCTCTCCCTGCTTGTTGTGTAAAAAACCAAAAACTTCCCATTCTTTCTGGGATTCTGCCCAGACAAGCCTGGAATTTCTCCAGTTTCGACTTGTATCTCTGTTTATGGGCATAACTGAACTCCCATTAGGATCAGGGGGAATTTGGTTAGTGACTTCAAAATGAGTGAGACTGAGACCCAAGTGTCTGTAGATCTAATTCTGCTCTCCATTACTCCTCATCCACCCACGGCAGCTGCACTAAGGTGGCTTCAATTCAACTAAGGGAAAAACGTAGCCCCCATCTGTTTACTTTTCTTTCACGTACATCTACCAGACTTCCCTACTCTAAAAGCTTTTAAGGGATGTGTCTTCTTGAGACCGGTTATTTGTTATAGCTAGCTGACCCTGGAAGTAAAATGATCTACCAATTGTACCAAGGTCTTCTCTGTGCCATTGTTTTAAGGTGGATACAGTAACGGCGAAATGAATAGTTAATTGAAAGTCATGCAACTAGACCTGCTGCTTTCTGTGGAAACTTCACTACAAGCTGGTCCATCTATTATGTATGGGAGCAATGGCCTAATTCTGCCAAAGGCAATTGCCAAAATAGGTACTGAAGATACAACAGCAAAGTGACACAGTGCGTAGTGTTAAGTTGTTCGGTCACCAAGGATCAGCTTTAACAGGCATATAAACTCGTAAGTTACAATACAGTAATGCTGGCTCATGTTACAGTCGTCCATGCAAACTTCTTGTCTCCCATCGCAAGAATTCCCCTCCATTTGGCTTGCCGGACTATTTAGAGTTGTGCATGCAAGGAGAGAGAAATGCCAAGTCAAAAACATAATCTGTTCCAATGACAGAAATGAAAGGATGATTCTGCGAGAAGCTGAGCCTTTGCTACTCACATGTATCTGACGAAGGGGGTCTTTGCCCACGAAAACGTATGCTCCAATAAATCTGTTAGTCTATAAGATGCCACAGGACTTCTCGTTGTTTATGCAGATTCAGACTAACATGGATTCCCCTCTGATACTTAGCAAAATGTATGGGTGGCATCAGACAATCAAGGGATACAGTTGAGTGCATCAGACCACATGGTTCCTTGTAGAAGCAAATCTCCTAAATTATACTTTTATGTTGCTCAGAAGGTCTCAGAGTACTTTACAAAAGAGAATAAGTGTAATTACACACAACTGACAGCTTCACTTCTGAGACAGAAGGTCCAATTCACCGCTGCCCTGCACCCAGCCCAGTGGAGAGTGAGTAGAACACACAACTGTTCTGATCTGAGAGCATTTGACACTGGTGTTAGGACTCCACAGAGTTCAGGACAACAGTGAATGGCCCAGAATGAATAAAGGTTGGATTTGTGAAGTGATGTAGGTGCTTAAAGATGCAGCTAGTCCCCTAGCAGAGGTTTTGAACAGCACCAAACTCCTCCAGTAGCCTAGGCACTTTTAAAAATGCCACTAGATGCCTTGTTCTCTCTTTCACTGCCTAGATAGCTTTAAACATCTGTCCCACGGGTGATGCCTACACTTGCAAATGTAGGCATTCGCACTAGGCTGCAAATGCAAGCATTCAAAATTGCTAATGAAGCGGGGATTTAAATATCCTGCCTTTCATTAGCAAGATCTCGCCGGCGCGCTAGTTCGAATCACAGCTGATTCGAACCAGGAAGTGCACGGCGGGACGCATTTGGTTCGAACCAAACCCCTTGGTTTGAACTAATGTTACTCCTCATTTTTTGAGGAGATCCTGTACTCCTCAAAAAAAATTTTCCGAAAGAAATTGCGATTATGCAAATGAAGCGTGGGATATTTAAATCCCCGCTTCATTTGCACTTTTGATCTGCCTAATTTACATCCCTCTTTCGAAAGAGGGGTGTAGTTTAGACATGCTTAGAGAGGCAAGGTGGGTGAAATCTCTCTTACTGGTCCAGCTGTGCACCTGGAAAGCTTGTCTCTCTCACCAGCAGAAGCCTGTCCAATAATTCAGCGTGACTTGTCGTTTTAATCTGAGGCGTGATTAAAATGACCTCACCAAGTTCCCTATTTGGGGGGCTCTCAAAGCCACAGATCTGCTCAATTTACAATTGAAAAAAACTCCACGAATGCTCAGCCCTTTCCAATCCACCTGGGAGCTGAATTTCCAGTGGTGCACCCTTCGATTACAAAGGAGAGGGGAAAGGAAGCGGGGGAGCCCTGGCTTGCAGCTCCAGCAAGAGCTGCGGTGAAAGCCAGCAGGGAGCAATTGAAAGAGCTGGCCGGGCCCACGATGCAATGGGCCAGCACCTGGAATACATTTTAATACCCCCTGAAACCGAAGGACAGGCCCGTTTCTGAGCCATCCTGTCCTGTTCAAACTAGATTTAGCCTGGGGCTAGCCGCCCGGACTCTGAACAGCGGGTCCCAGTGGAGGACTGAGGCTCAGTTGTGGTGTTAGCCCAAGAGCCTCCCCAAGCCTGGGCCAGAAGCGGGTGAGACGGGCAGAGGGACAGTCACCCGGGCCCAGGGTCAGCCCCAGCAGGCACAGGGGGA